CGCAAGGGTTACAACACATACGAACAACACAACTAACAGCCGTGGGATTCAGAGGTATTAACTAATCACTTGATACCTACAATACTCGAAAGGAGGAAGAGCTAGAGGACAGCCCATCATGGCAGATAACAGCAAGATAACCCTCGGCCGCTACATGTGGGAGCGAATCCACCAAATTGGTGTCGACACAATCTTCGGTGTACCCGGCGACTTCAACCTGCAATTCCTGGACTCCATCTACCTTACCCCAGGATTGACCTTTGTCACCAACCAAAACGAACTGAACGCTGCCTACGCCGCCGATGGATACGCCCGCATCAAGAACACGCCCGGATGTCTCGTGACCACGCATGGTGTGGGTGAACTTTCGGCTTTGAACGGCATCGCAGGTAGCATGAGTGAACATGTTAAAGTTGTTCATGTTGTTGGGCAAACTACGCGGGCGATGCAGAAGAACAACATGATGATCCACCACAGTATTGGAAACAAGCCAAATCACCAAATGTACAACAAGGCTAGCGAGGGGCTGAGGTTCGCGGCTGCAGAACTCTGGGATGTTGCAGATGCACCGAAGGAGATTGATAGGGTGCTACGGGAGTGCGTTATCAAGAATGGGCCTGTTTACATCTTCTTGCCGCTGGATCTGAGTGCCGAGATGGTAGATGCTGGGTTATTGGAAACTCCCATTGATCTTGCGCCGCATGTGGATGAGAAGGCGCAGGACGAAGCGGTCAAAGCTATCGTGGCTGCCGTCGCTGAAGCCAAACAGCCAACGGTACTGGTAGACGCTCTCGTCCATCGCTTCAACGCTGTCCAGGAAGCTGCGCAGGTAGTCCGGAAGCTAAACGTTCCTTTCTTCTCAGCAACCATGGGCAAGGGCATTGTCGATGAGACAGAAGAGAACTTCGTTGGGGTATGGAATGGCGAAGTCAGTTCTCCGGGCGTCAAAGAAGCAGCGAAACAGGCAGACTTGGTAGTGACTCTGGGGTACATACCTGCTGACACGAACTCGGCTGGCTTCTCAAGACCGTTGGACGAGACTAACACCATCCACATCAACCCACACGACGTTGTTGTAAGTCCCTCGCATACCTCATCTGACGTCTGTTACTGACATACTTCCTAGGTCAAAGGCAAATCCTACCCCAACACACCCATCAAAGCCCTCCTCGAAGCTCTAACCACCGCCCTACCATCAACCCCCCAACACAAAATCCCCAAGCCCCAACTCCCACCACCCCGCACACCCCTCGACGCCAAATCAGCCCACCTAACGCAATCCCAACTCTGGCCCGCCATCCAGTCCTTCATCCGCCCAGGCGACGCTCTCGTCAGCGAAACCGGAACCTCGAATTTCGGTCTATGTGACATTGATTTCCCGTCTGACATCAGACTCGTTACGCAGATCTACTATGGAAGTATTGGGTTTGCTACTGCTGCGACGTTGGGCGTGGATATTGCGCGGAGGGAGCTACACAAGAAGGGAGAGGGACGGACTATTCTGATGACGGGAGATGGAAGCATGGCTTTGACGATCCAGGAGATTGGGACTATGATCAAGGCGAAGTGTAAGGCGATTGTTTTTGTGATTAATAATGAGGGGTATACGGTTGAGAGGTTGATTTGGGGGGCGAGGCAACGTAAGTCTCCTCTTTGTCTACATTGAACGAACACCCAACTAACAATCAACGCTTACAGCATACAACGACATCGTCCCGCACAACTACTCGCACCTCCTGCCCCTGTACCGCCACCCCTCCCCCGAATCCTCCTTCCACCGCGCAACCACCTTATCAGAACTCTCCGCTATCCTAGAGAAACCGCAGCTGCAAAACCCGCAGAACGTCCAGCTTGTGGAGCTGGTGCTGGATAAGATGGATACGAGTTGGAAGTTGGGGACTGCGCTCGCGTGGAGGAGCGAGGAGCACAAGGAGTATCTTACTAGAGAGGGGTTTGTGGATACGTATGGTGGGTGGGGGTTGGATGGGAAGGCGGGGGGGAGTGTTAAGTGGAGTTGAGGTGTTGAGGTGTTGAGAGTTAAGAGTCTGGGAATTTGGGAACAAGGAGGTCGGTGTGAGCTGTGTGTGTAGATGATGTATTTGCTTGTATGTGATTTGATGATTTTAAATCGAATATCTTGTAGATCCTACTCCCTAATCATGCTCGATCGTCATTCAGCTGTCTCTCCCACTCCTTCGCATCCCTTCGTCTTTCCCGCCAGAATCCTCCTTCCTAAGCAAACACCCCAAGTAAACAAAACCACACAACAATCAACTCGTATATCATAACAGGCTGCCTCTCCCACCCATACATGACAGCCGCAAAGCCCAATCTCAGCGGGATGGTCGAAGCCATCATGCGGCGGTTACCCTGGAAGGTAAAGATGAGTTGGTACCAGCCTACTGCTACTGCGCCGAGACCTTTTTCCTCTCGTTAGTCCAGGGTTGGGTATACGTTGAAACTGATTCTCGACTTACCGATCGATTGTAGCGTTTTATCAGGACCTTCCATACCGGTGATTGCAGAGTACTCCTCTGGGTTGATGAAGGGGTAGATGCCGAGGGCTATGTTGACGATGGAGTGGAGGATGAGGAGGAGGCGCGCCATGCGCGATATGGGTGACATTTTGGCGGGTACGAACGTAGTCAACGGTGTCGAAGATGCTTAAAGAGATGGTATGATTGATGTTTGGGATGTTGCAGCGAAGGATGCAGCTTTCCAAGGCATTGGCACCAACCCCGCTAAGGCAAGGCGTGCCGTTTTTAGCGCCCACGTGGGCGCGAGTGTCTCCTGGTCTGCGAGGTCTTGAATTTTGTTCCACTTCTATCATCATTTACGGTTCGCTGTCGATAGATGTATTTGGCATTTACGTTTGTGTGCGCATGAAAAAGACAATGCAGGTACAACTGACGTGCGGCCAACATGCGCCTAAACACCACATCCAGGGTTGCCGAAACTACCACCCGCAGCCCACCCATCCAGATCGTAAAACCACTCCGGACTCCTTCCAAAGTGAAAACCATCCCCCGAGTCGATGGGTAACCCCTGCATGTACGCATTGATATCGATATCCAACCCCATGTTCACACCTCCCAGATCGCTATCCAGCATACTCAGTCCGTCCATCGTGCCGTCGAAACAAGAAAAATCTGTACTGTTGCTGCTGCCGGTTTGGGCGCCGGTACCAGTAGGTAGATGCTTCCCGGTAATATCATCAGCGCCCTCGCCTCGACCATGCTCTTTCCCTGCGAAGCTGCTGGTGGAGGGACTGAGGTCGATGTCTTCGCCGTGCTCTTCGCGGTATACTGCAGCCAGTATCTGACTCATTTCTTTGGTAGATGATTTCGCTGCTTCGAGCACAGCTACTTCAGGGTCGGTGCCGGCTATTAAAGCATCGATGCGTGCTAGTGCGCAATTGATAAAGACGACACCTTTTGCGTTTGTCTCGCCGTTTTGGACGCGGGCGACTGCTGTGTGTCGGGATGATTCCAGGACTTGACGTAGGGCGTGGTACTGTGGTGGTAAGGATGTCAACCCTGTAGAGGGGGACGTTGCGGCTGGACGTGTGCATACAAGAGGAGCGAATAGCGCCAATTCTTCTTTCCTCTCGTTGATCTGAGAGTTGAGTTCGTAGTACACGGTTGACATGGCGTAGAGGAAGAACGACTTGAAGAACCCCACGCATCTGTGCGTCATACGTGTCCAATCGTCCTCTTCTCCTGGTCCCAGTTCCGTTGCTGGCGCGTAGATCGCTAGTGATGTATCGAGACATATCTTCCGGGAGTAATGATAACGTGGGTTTTCACTTGCTTTGGAAAAGTAGGGACGATGGAGGCAGAGGACGAAGCGTCGGACCAAGGTATCAGACATCTTGATCTGAAACGGCGTGATGTTGTTTCCTGCTGCTAATGCTGATTTGAAGAAGATTGTTTTCTCACGACAAACGCTGATGAGCTTGGTGCCGATGTGCAGTACGTCGTCGTAGGATAGGTCGAAGCGCAGATTGTTGATTACCCTAATGATCTCAAGCCGTGTGGGAAGCGTCTGTGTAAAAGCAATCTGTATACTGCTGTCAGTAAACACGGTTGCCGGCTTCACATCGAGTGGTGTGTCTATGCCGTTTCCCATATCTTCGTCGTTGATGTTGGAAGGTGGCTTCGTATCGTAGTCGTTCACCGAGATCATAGGCGGCATACCCATATCTAAGCTGCTTTGCGCCGTGATTTCGAGAACAGTTGCCCATAGTCTGCGTCGCATCTCGCCATGGTAGACACTGATCTTTGGGAAGTGAGACGGGTCGCGATGTAAGCCGAGATGCATCGCCGTCCGCAACATCGTACCTGCAGGTATCCATATATGATCACCATCGATGCCACATACTTGACGTGCAATCAGAATCAATATCTGTATCTGCAATCCTATCATGTTGAGCCGCGACTTCGCATGAGGTGCACACTGCCATTCCGCTGCAGCTTGGATCCATTTCGCAGCTGAAACACGAAGCTTGGCTTGGTCGGGTCCGGTATAAAACGGCACGGCAATTGCGCATACCAGCAGAAACTTATGAATGATAGACGGCTTTGCAGGCGTGGTGCCTAGCCAGTATGCATCGTAGACTCTTCTGAAGGAAGGGACATGCAGAACGCGAAAGACACCTTCGAAGGTGCGGAGATAACAGTCGACCAGTGCGTCGCTGATTTCTTTCGGGGGGATACACGCCTGCAGTTCTGGAGAGATGGAAGGCTGCGACATGCGAGAGGCCTTGATGATGCGAGCCATCCGTTTAACCTCTGAGACAGTAGCATACAGCTCAGTCGATTTGTTCCTATATGCTGCAATTAGATCTACTGTCATTAGAGAAAGACTGACAAAATGACGTACACCTCTTTCCTGTTTGTATTGTGGTTCGTTGTAGTATTTGTATCACCGAGAGCGTCATACTGCTATCCGTCAATTGAGTCCCTTCGAACAGAGCAACCGAGACAAGGAAACCATCGGTATCAAGCACTCACGGGATCGATAGCGTTCATCCAATGACTCTGACCATAGTACTTTGCCTTCACAAACTGAGCGCTCGTATCACTTGCGCTTTCCCGTCTCGGCGATGTACTACTTCTCGGGTTCTCGTTGAGGGTAGCGCTCGCCAGTCGTTCTTCCAGACCCTGAATCCTATCCAACAAGCTGTTGATGATAGAAGCTTGCGCAGAGTCCGAGTGCGAGTTCAAGCCAAAAGCCGGTCTATTGGAGGGCAGAGGCTTCGGCTGGCCGTCGCATTCTCCAAGAAGCCCGGGTGCCACATAACGATTGACGATTGCATTGAACTGATTGGGAATCTCGGGCGCCTCAGGAGAAGAGCGAGCTGGATTTCGGTCGTGGTCGTTGCTGTGACCTGTGGAGGCATCATCCTCGGGTGACCTTTGGGCTTCTGACCGAATCCCCGGACGTGGAGGTCTAAACGTGCATGTCGCTGATTTGATCCTAGTGCATGCACCACAAGGTTTTCCTCGGTCGCATTTCACCTTGCGCATGCGACATTCCACGCATGATAGTGCTGGTCTTCGTCGACGTTTCGCTGGTCCGTTGCCATCTGTGTCTGCGGACTGGATGGTAGGTTGCTCAACCATTTTGACTCACAAATGCAAGAGAATTGGTAGCAGTTATCTTGACTGCGCAGTAAGAGTCGTAAACAGCACTCAAAGATTCTAACATGGTTGCTGGTAGATGGACAGGCAACCGTCGGTGTTCTGTGGAGCGGCTCGGGGCTCGGTATTTTCGGTCATCTCTGAAATCAGCGGCAGGGACGTTGGCCACGCCGCGGAGGCTTACTCCTTCTGTCTCTCGTCGCAACAACATCATCCTTCGGGCGAAGGATTCCAGCTCGCATTAGCCTGGGAACGGTGTGCTTACACAGTCGTGTGTACTGACAGAGCGATGAAATGTATGGCTATGCCTCGCGACATACCTCCGTTTTGGGTAGCGTCCCAGCCTCCGCCAGCTGATTCCCATTCCCATTAACCACAAACGCTGTCCCCACAGCTTCACGCGATTATCAACACTCAACCCCGAAATGCGACTAGTTAGACCTTGAACCGCATCAGGTCTGTATTAGAGAACGCTATTGACTGAATAGAGAATACACCTTATCCGCAACAAGCGTTCTTACAATAGTCTGTATTCAAGTACATCTGCTCATATTTCACAAGCACAAAGTGTCCTAAAATGCACCAACAAGCTACCCAGGCATCTCTGCTTGACGACGATCATACCTTCCCCCTGATCATCTACCTCACGGTACGCTGTAACGCACAAACATCTTCGCGTTCCTTACACACTCTCCGCATCAACACAGCTGTATGATGAGGCATCAGTCGCAGCACCACCCTGGTAAACAGATACAAGCGGGTAAGGGCAAAGATCCTTCGACAACACTGTCCCGTTGACAGGTTGAGTTCCAACTGCCGGTAGGGTGTCTGGGGCTGTACCGTTTTCGACCCAGGCTACAAGTTGCTGCAGCGCATTATTGACGGGTGCAGGACCAGGGCCACCTGCGCAATGATGAAGGCCAGGCGCAAGGAACAACCTGTAGTACTCAGCAACATCGGAATCCAGCGCAGCTACCCGATCGTAGTACTGTGTTGACCCACCCGAAGGAATCAGGTCATCTGCGATGCCGTGCCAGGTGAGCAACTTTCCTCCTGCTTCCTTGAAGTCCGAGAGATCCGCATCGTTGGTGTTGATGATCGAATCCCACTGCTGCTGGCCGGCGTACATGTAGTCCGGTAGACGCTCCGCGGTAATTGCGGACCAGTCAAATGTAGCGTTCTTCTCGACAAAAAGCTGGAACCACTGTGCGCCGAGTAGCCAGGCAGCGGTGGTAAGGCAGGTACCTGACGCTTCACAGTCCGTGTCGGTCGTTGCCTGGAGGGGTGCATCGAATGCGTATCCGGGGTAGATCTTCTTTCCCCGTCTGTCGGAGACACCATACCATGTAGCGTTGGCTACAGTTGCTGTCGCGTTGGAGATGACATTCGAGCTGCTATTGCCGCAGCTGGCGGGCTGTCCGACAACGGTGAAAGGGTCGAAAGAACACAACTCCGGGATGGATATGATCGAGTCTTTGACGCCGTCCAGTTCATCGCAAGCGGCGATTGCGGCGGCCCCAATCGCTTCAAATTCGCAATTGGGCGGGTATTCGCCGAGCGTGTTCATTACAGCTTGAGCATGGAACAAGCTGGCCAAGAGTGGGATGATGTTCAGTGCGGGTGCTGCAGCGATAATACCGTCAAACGCTTCGGGGTAACGTTGAGCCAGCATCATGCCTTGTCTACCACCCTGGGAACACCCAGTCCAGCTATGTCGGTTGTTAGCCACTGTTCGTCCCAGACACATGATGAAGCGTTGACTGAGTGAGATCGCAACCTCAGGGTCATACATACTAAGAGTAAGCGGGAGCCTTCTGATAGAAGCTTTCTGTAACCATCTTCCCGAATATAGAGAGCTCGTTTAAAGTAACAGAACCGAAGTTCTGCAAAGCAACCACATCGACATTACCCGGAGATTTGAGCGCCCAAGGAAGAGCGGAGACTTCAGTGGCATTGTGGCCACCGTCAGTGGAAGCTGCCGCATATCCCTGAATAATGGCCGGGAGTAGGCTCTGATCGAAAACACCAGCGCGCCAGCCGCCACCTCCCACACCATTGAAGCGTCCGTTCCACTGCTCCGGCAGCCATATCTGGAGGTTGACTGTGTCGTTCTGACCTGGGTGGGTGTAGGCCATCTCTACGCGGCAGTAGGAGATATTGTACGATGAAACTCCAAGAAGCGGTACAAGTTGTTCGGCTGGGATGGGCGAGCCTTCTGGTGTCCATTGTGTCTTGGGCTCTGCAGTGAACTTCGTGATTGCCGTGCCATTGAGGTAGGGTTGTGCAAGGCTTGAACAAGCCAATCCGTGGGCTGTTCCGGCTGTTAGAAACAGAGATCATATCGAATGGATCGGACTCAACATACCTAAAGCCGAATACATCTTGTTCAAGAAAAGACACGGTTCGTGCGAGATAGGGCTTTGATGTCGAAACAGGTGATGACTCGTTCCAAGGTGTACAGCAGAATGGTGCCTGCGACGACATTACTTATATACGACATGTTTCGTTAGCTGCGACGGCAGGCGGTTCGTCAACGCCCTGCCAATTCCGCTATGATGGCAATGGCGGCATAGCCGACCTCGCGAGATGGTGGTTCATCAGGGCAAACGAAAACGAATAAAGCGCGATGCGATCGCTAGTAAAACTGCCTTGTCCTTCTGGAGCACAACTACTTCGGCAAGGCGGATGTTGACCTTCCGGTGCAGGTCCGGTAAACGAGAACGAGTACCTCTCTGATCGGCATCCTTAGCGTCAACCTACCAAATTAGTGTTCCTTTTGGCACCAGGCACCAACAAGTCTCGCCCCCGCATCACGTCCAAGCCATGTCGTTCTCGTTTACACAAAGCCCCAGGCGGATGATAACTTACCACATCTAAAGCGGAACGAATATGCGATTGCCGAGATTGAGTTCGAATGGCAGTGAAACGGTACCATAGGAAGTCACGGGCTGGATGCGACACGTGCAAGCGACGGCGCGTCAAATGCGACGAAGCCACACCCAAATGCGGCGCTTGTGCTCTACGAGAAGAACAATGCACCTACCCAACACAGAACTTTTCGACTGGGTCTAGAAGGAAAGCGAAGACGGCGTTGACGACGGCATCATCATCGTCATCATCACCACCACGATCACCTATACCAACCAAACCCGGCTGGTATTCCCTCTACGATGCCTACAGCGGCCCATCCTCCCGCCTAGCCACCTACAATGCGACCCGAACCCTCGAAATGCGGCTCATGCACCAATGGACCACAACCACCTACCTCACCTCCGTGCACCGCAATGCGCTCGTCTTCCGCGACTACGCCGTAACCAAAGCACTCCAACACACCTACCTACTAGACATACTCCTCGCCTTCACCTCCCTACACAGCGCCAGTCTCTCCTCCTCCCCCACCGCATCCCACGACCACGTCGCCGCCGCACTGCACTACCAGAACAGAAGTATATCCGAGCTCAATGAGCAGGTATCGCTGGCTTGTATTTCGAAAGAGAGTCTCGATCCGGTTTGTCTTATGACTGCTCTCCATGCTGTTGTTGCGCTTATCGCGAGTCTGATTCCGGCCACGCCGGGTGAGACGTTGGAATCTGTGTCGCAGGTACTGATGCGTGTGCGGAGGTATACGATGGGTATGAAGGAGATTGTGGAGGAGCATAGTGTGTGGGCTAATAGCGGGGAGTTGAAGCAGATACTTGGCAGTCCTGTTGTTGAGTTGGTAGGAGAAGAAGGCAGGGCATTCACGGCGGAGAAGCTACGCGCGTTGACGGATGCGATACTTGCGAATATGGATCTTGATGATACCGCAACGCCGTTCTTTCGTGGTACCCTGGAGAAACTGGAGAAGGCGTATATGGATAGTGATGGGCATTCGGTGGTTCCTTGGTTGGGTACCGTGGAGCCGGAGTTTTTCCAGAAGGCGGATATGGGGCAGGTGCCGGCTCTGGTTATATTAGCCTGTTGGGGAGCGATTAATTGCATTTTGGAGGATATGTGGTGGATGCAATATTCTGGGAGGAGGATTGTGGAGGAGTTGGCCTGCCAGCTCGAGGGCTGTGATAGCCGGTGGAACGATATTCTGGATTGGTGTTACCAACAGGTTGGGTTAATGGCAGAGACCAGTGATCGTGTTCGAGAGAACGGTGGAGGTGGGCCTGGATCGGGTTATGTCGTTCTCTTTGGAGAGCATGCATGAATGGCATCGTAAGCGAAATAGTCCAACTCGTACTCGTTCTCGTACACGCAATACGCTGGAGTCTGATTGCGGTGACGAGACGTGGAGGGATAGGCGTGAGCCTGCAAAACTAGTCTGTAAACCCATGTGGTACCTACAAAGGTACTGGGGAGATTCAGGTAACTAGCTCTACGTTAGCATCTAAGCCCGGTTGCAGCACCATCTCTTCCACTTCCTCTACACCAACACCTCGCTAAATGCCACGACAACTACTCATACATCGCACACCCACCGACGCCATCTACATGTCCTTTGTCAAATCGTAAATCTTCTGAATCTCCTTAAGCTCGCCCTCGTGGTCGAACTTGAGATCCTTCAACAACCCGTCTCCGAATCCAAAGACCCAGCCGTGCACGACAGGGAACTCGTTCTCAGCCCAACACTGCTGCACAGCCGCCGTCTTGACCACATTCCGGCACTGCTCGTACACGTTGAGCTCAACGAGCTTATCGTACTTCTCCTCCTCTGTACCGCCGTTGGCCATAACATCGTCGAGCTCCTTCTGGTGCAGTCTGTAGACATCGCGGATATTTCGGAGCCAGGGGTTCAGCAGACCCATGTCCTTTGGTGTCATGGCGGCCTTGACACCACCGCAGCCGTAGTGGCCGCACACGACAATGTGCTTAACTTTGAGGTGGCGGACCGCGTAGTTGACTACGGACATGACGTTGAGGTCGATGTTGTTGACTAGGTTGGCAATGTTGCGGTGGATGAACATCTCGCCGGGCTCGAGACCGGTGATGGCTTC